CTCAATGTCTTTCTTGTAGTGAGGGGCCCAAAACTGAACACAGTGCTCAAGGCACAGCCTCACCAGTGCTGAGTACAGAGGGACAATTACTTCCCTGCTCTTGCTGTTGGCAGCACCATTCCTGATACAAGCCAGGATGCTGTTGGCCCTCTTGGCCACCTGAGCACACTGCTGGCTCATGTTCAGCTTAGCACCAACCAATACCCCCAGGTCTGTTTCCTCTACACAGTCTTGCAGCCACTCTGCCCCAAGGCTGCAGTGTTGTCTGAAGTTGTTGTGGCCAAAGCGCAGGACCCAGCACGTGGTGGTGTTGAACCTCATCCCATTGGACTCATCCCAGCAATCCAGCCTGTCCAGATCCCTCTGTAGTGCCTTCCTACCTGCAGGCAGATCGACACCTCCTGCCAACTTGGTGTCATCTGCAAATTTACTGAGGGTACACTCAATGCCCTCATCCAGGTCATCAATAAAGATATTGTAGAGGACAGGCCCCACCAACAACCCTTGGGAACACCACTCATAACCAGTTGCCAGCTGGATTTAACTCCACTCACCACCACTTTCTGGGCCCAGCTGTCCAGCCAGGTCCTTATTCAACACAGAGTGTATGCTATATCAGTGTTCAGCTATTTTAATTCCTGAGAAGTTGTGCCTTATTTTTAAGATATTACTTGTCTAATATCAACTATGTTTGCTTTGTTGGATTCAAAGAGGTAGCCATTGGATTTCTTTCTGTGCTTAAAGATATACGCGTGGTAATTATATATATCTCCTCAACTTCTCTTTGAGAAACTGCATAGACTGAGTTCTTTAAGATCTCGTAAGACTAGATTTCCAGTCTTGAAATCATGGCTTTCAGAAAAAATAGTTTTCTGTCACAACAACTTTCTGAATATATAACACTGGGTGTGGAAGTGAACACTTTTTTTTTTCTTTTTTTGTCTTCACTATGTCTGTAAAATAAATTTGTTTCCTAAAAATAAGGAATTCTTCCTAGGAAACACTTTCATTGAAGCAACTACTGATGTTTTTCCAAAAATTCTTCTCAATTTACCATTTTTTGAAAATTAAGAATTTGTTCTTTTACATTTCTTAATGGTGTTTTATTCCACACCCAACAGGACAGCAAAAGAGGTAGCAACACAGCACTGTTCTGTCTGCATTGAATTATGCCAACGGTGTGCTTTAGATGAAAACTGTCCTGCATAAATTCAAGCATACCTTATCCTAATTTCACACACAGACACCTATAAGTAATAATAAAAAGTAGTAATTGAAAAAAGAGCCCATCTACATTTCTATGAAAACTATGTTCAGATGAAACTCATGACTGTGCTTAAGCTCTCACAGCTATGATTCATATGGCACTAGATACAAAACTGCAGGAAAACTGTGAGGAACTGCAAAAATATGATTAGGAAATAAAATGGCAGATGAAACTCAGTATAGATAAGCAAAAAAGGGCACGCATGGATACCAGGAAAGGAATTTAAAAAAGAGTAAACAGTCTGCATGTCTAAAAGTTCCCTTCTCAAAAAAATGAGACAAAGTTTCAAATATGGAAGTTATTCCACGCCCTTGGGCAGCCAAAGAATATTTAAATTAACATATTTCAGCATTAGTTACAGTAGTACATAGAGGAAATTTAAACATAAATTTTATACCTGCAGAATCATGACTGGCACAACCACCGTACTTAAATGTTTACTGCGTAAGAACATAAAGACAGTAAAAATCAGATTCAAAATAAACAAGAAGCATCAATTCTTTATGCCACAGACATCAGTTGATACAAGCTGCTTTTATTCAGGAAGCATACAGTCCCAAGGAAACTGGACAAGTACTAGAAAAAACAGCATTAGAGATCACTAATAGACAAACCACATGATGTTCAGGAAAGCCTGGAATAGAAGACATTTGGAAGCTAGAATACAGAAGGAAAAGAACCAAACATGCTTGTATTGTTCTTATTCTTCCTCAGGCATCTGCTTTTGACTACAGAAGAAAAGCTATTGTGTTATGAAAACCTTTAGCTGGAACCAGTATAGCTATTCTTGTTTTCAAGACTTCAAGGTGTTTGACTCCCTACATATAAATCTAAGTTAAACATTACCAATTAGCTCCATGTGAGAATAAAAAATATTATGTATTTACAATTTTATAGCTGCCAAATTGAGTTCTGAATATCTAAAACATGCCCTGACTCTATAATTTTGTATGAGACATGGTGTACCAGAAAAAGTCTAAGTGCATAAAAACAGCAAGTTCATCAACAGTAAAATGACAGGCACAACTTACCTAGACAGCACTGCACACATATTACATTTGCAAGCTGGTTTTACAGGGACATAAAACAAACACTGAAAACACAATAAATGTAACAGAAGTTAGAAACATTTGTGTATTTCCAGTAGCAAAGTGATAAATAGCAGTGGCAAGGGAAGCCATCAGAATTACTAAATTACCTAAACATCTGGTAATTGAAAGTAAAAACAATGCACTGGCTTGAACAAGCACTCTAATTTCAGAAGCATTCGGGGTACATTTGCTGTTTAAAGTTTAGTTCCTTGGCTCTCTTCAGAAACAAATGATGACCTGTCGACACTGCAAGAACGCTTTTCTGCTTTTGCAGCACTGAGTCCACCTAACAGTAAAATAACCAACTGCTCTTTTGTTTAACAATTTCAAGTTTTGCTCATTTCTCACATTTTCTAGGATACATTTCATTGCCAATCTTTTCATACTACTACAGATACTTTAATACATTCAAAAACATTATACCCAGTATTCAAAAGTTTTAACACAGATTTACAAAAGATTTTAAACGTGTATGAGTAAGTTAAATGATACTACTTACATACATCTCTCCCAGCTTTGTTATCTAAAAGTTTTCATACCTTCCTGGAGTGATTTCTAGGCCAGAGTATTTGGAAATTACTGGTGCTCACTAATGCAGAGGAGAGCAATACAGAAGATTGGAGGCATTTTTAAGAAAGGGAGAAAGGAACACCTGGGGAACTACAGGCCGGTGAGCCTGGGAAGATCATGGAGCAGATCCTAATAGAAGCTGTGTTAAGGCACATACAAGATAAAGAGGTGATACAAGACAGCCAGCATGGCTTCACCAAGGGCAGATCATGCCTGACCAATCTGGTGGCCATCTGTGACAGAGAGATGGCTTTGGTGGATGGAGGAAAGCTGGTGGATGTCATCCACCTGGACTACTGCAAAGCTTTTGACATGGTCCCTCACCACATCCTTCTCTCTAAAATGGAGAGGTGTGGATTTGAAGGATGGACTGTTCGATGGATGAGGAATTGGCTGGCTGGGCACAGCCAAAGGGTTGTGATCAACGGTTCTGCCAGGGTGGAGGCTGATCACAAGCGGTGTCCCTCAGGGGTCGGTCTTGGGACCAGTGCTCTTCAACATCTTCATCAGTGACGCAGATGATGGCATCAAGTGCACCCTCAGCAAGTTTGTGGATGACACCAAGCTGAGCGGTGCAGTTGATACATTGGAGGGACGGGAAGCCATCCAGAGGGACCTGGACAGGCTGGAGAAAAGGGCCAATGAAAAACAAATGAGATTCAATAGGGCCAAGCGCAGGGTGCTGCACTTGGGTCAGGGCAATCCCAGGTATTTATACAAGCTGGGGAAGATCTCCTTGAGAGCAGCCCTGCAGAAAAGGACTTGGGGGTCCTGGTGGACGAGAAGCTGCAGGAACCAGCAGTGTGAGCTTGCAGCCCAGAAGGCCATCTGTGTTCTGGGATGCATTAAAAAAAGGGGTGGCCAGCAGGGAGAGGAAGGTGATTGTCCCCCTCCCCCCCACTCAGCTCATGTGGGGCACCATCTACAGTATTGCATCCAGGCCTGGGGCCCCCACTACAGGAAGGACGTGGAGCTCTTGGAACAGGTCCAGAGGAGGGCCACTAAGATGATCAGAGGGCTGCAGCACCTTTCCTATGAGAAAGGTTGAGAGAACTGGGCTTGTTTAGCTTAGAGAAGAGAAGGCTTTGGGGGACCTTGTTGCAGTCTTCCAGTACTTGAAGGAACTTTATAAACAGGAGGGGGAATGGCTGCTTACAAGGATGGATAGTGATAGGACACGGGAGAATGATTTTAAACTGAGATAGGGGAGATTTCGGTTAGGTATTGTTCTTCACTCAGAGGGTGGTGACACACTGCAACAGGTTGCCCAAGGAGATTGTAGATGCCCCATCCCCAGAAGTGTTCAAGGCCAGGCTGGATGTGGCTCTGGGCAGCCTGGTCTGGTGGTTGGCAACCCTACCCAAGTCAGGGGGAGCTGAAACTCGATGATCTTTGTGGTCCTTTTCAACCCAGCCTATTCTATCATTCTGTGAAATACTGGTAGGACATTTAGCCGCTTTGATCACTTCCTATAAAGCTGTGACCCAGACAGAGTATGTGATGTAAACTCAAAAGGAACTTTTTTGTCTACACAAATAAAGATACAAGGTTTATTTTCATGTGTGCTTCCCCTATCAGCCGCGGAGCTTGCTTTGGGTTTTATTAACACCACTGCACACCTTAAAAAGATTCTAACAAAAAGTTGGAAAAGCTAGAACAGTAGCAGAGGACAAACGGACAAGAAAATTTTCTTCCTGTTAAGAAACATAATTCCTGGATGCAAGGATATTCACTGCATGATAACACGCTCAATACTGCGCTGCATATCTGGAAAGACTTGTTTTTACATCAGTGGAGATTCTTTGTGCTGAATGAGAAGACACTCCTACGCCAAATGACTGTGTAACATTCACAACTAGATCTGTCCCTTCTTGTAATGCTTGTAATTACTAGGAAGTAACAATATATGCTTAATATTTTCAGCTTGAGTGTTCAGAACATAAGTAAACAAATAGCATTTGATATTCCATGTTACCTCAATTTCAAACTTACATACATCACTGCTTATACCAAAATTCCTTTCTAATACAAGTTAAAAACACTTTTGCCAACAGAATTAGAAGGACAAATCATTATCTTTATAATCAAAAGTGCTTTATTTCTTACTTTCAGAATGTGACTTAAATGACTTAAGTCATCATCTGTACTGTAATTAAAATCAAGTCAATAGGGGCTTTTTTCCTATCTTTCCCATAGATAAAAGCATCCACTCATTTCCACACCAATTCAATAGGAACAAACAGAACACACTTCTAAAGGATGCATTAGCAAGCTACATTCATGATAACAACATTCACTGTTAAATACTAGTAATTTCAACAAGCGAATCGATCTCTGACACTGTTTAAAAATCTTGGATGCTGAAGAAAAGCAATTGCAGTAAGTTCACTCCCAGCTCATAAAAATAACTAAGTATTCAAGTGTGGTAAGATTTAAGAAAATCTTGAGTGGTGGGCCTATTTAAGAAAACCAAACTTTAAGCTCTCCCATACATTGCTTTTTTCAAGATCACTTGCAGAGATATTCTGAAACCTTCGGATATAATTTCACTTTGTATTTCTGAGCAGTGCCCAGTGTTCCAATCCTTTATTAACTCTACAACTTCGAATTCTTCTTACAAAGATTTCTACCACATCAGCTTGTCATATTTTCAGCAGCCTAGAAAAAAACCAAACATATTTAGTCAGCAAAAACAGACATCATTTATGTTGCAGATTTGAAGCCAGTTATGAGATAAAAAGGGAAAATGGAAGCAACACAAATAATAAGACAACTACAACAGAAAAGAAATAGAACACCCCTCAATCATGTATATGCACAATTGTGTATATACACACATTAAACATGTAAGCAAATATAAAATATGCACAAGTGTAGGAGAGAAATAGTCAAAAAACTGAAAAATAATGGGGGAAAAAAAGCCCTGAGTAGTATCCATCTAGTCAAATCTAAAAGTTGAGTTCTCTAAGAATCAGAACATAGTGTTCAAAAACAGGCATATAAACAACATAAGATACCATGGAAAAGGAACCATAATGTTTAGGTAGGCATTCTTTAAAGGGCAGATGAGGATTTTTTAACTATAGTTATCTTCCCTATTAACCAAAGTTATACATGGCTTTTTGTAGTTTGGTATTTATGATGCACACACCATGAAATGCTGTAATCTATCTTTTGAAAGATGTAAAGCACAGGCTAATGAGGTTACAGCAATGCGTGGAGACTACGTTAGGTACAACAGCTTCATGAACTTGTTTACAAGTATTGCTGCACACTATGAGGCCTGAGGCTGTATAAGGAGCTGATACAGGCTGAAGAAGAAAGCCGCAATGCAGTCAGGATATGATGCAGATAAAGGGGCAAACAGTGGCTGAAAGCATCCAGAAGATAAATTTGTATATATATTATTTTATTTTTTTTTACTTTAAAGGAAAACTTAGAAATTGAAGTATAGCAAACTGAAGAATGGATCCGATTCTCTTAAAAGCGTGTGCTTTTTAGGCAACAGCATCACCTTTAGAGCTTCTGTAGCCTTACGCAGTTCTTTAATGACAGAAGACAGTGCTTCTGGGTTGATGCCTTGTTCACAAAGCCGCACACAAATAGACAGGGTCTCCATATCCAACCCAGTGTTCAATATTCTTGAAATCTCAAACAGGACTGCAAGAGGAAAAAAAAAAAGCGAGTTAGTCCCTACAGTGATCAGAACAGTTATTCATCAAAACTGAATTTCTCCTGTAGAGCGTGGAAGTGGCAGTCATGGAATCTCAATAGTATTTATCTTTGGTTTTCCAATGTAAAAGGTAGAAGCCACAGGTTCTGAATGACTTCAATATAATGTTCTTCTAATGCAGAAAACAGTGAGTAAAAAAAAATCAGTTATTAAAATGCTTGCTGATTATCTGAAAGATGGCTATAAGAATAGCTGCTTTTGAACTCCAAACAATTACTGAAAGTCCTACTTAAATGGACTAGAAGCTTTGACAGTTGTTTTCAGCTTTATAGCCCTTTCCTCCTATAGCTACACCTACCTTTATGTCTAACATTACCAGCAGGCTGAATATAAGTAAAAGTATTTGAATTGTGTTTGTTGTGAAGGATGACATGATCACGTGTCAGTATGAAACTTTTTGTTGAAGGAGATCACAGTCAGTTTTGCATTGAAACAAGTCTCCCTCTTCCAAAGCCTCTTGGAAGGCCCCATTTACCTGGTACCCTTACAGTTTTCATTATATGCACAACACCACACCTTGTCACTACTTTGTTTATGCTACAGTACTCACTACCATGAAGCTAAGACTTCATTTATTTACAGCCCCAAATTAGGGGAAAGAAGCAGGTCATCCTTACCACATGAAATCAATATGGTGACTACTGTCCACTTGACAGCTCTGGAAATATCCTATGCCAGTATACCAAACACTGTAGCATGGCCTCAGAGTTGCATTTACCCAGGCCAAGCCACTGAAGGCCTAACACATCCACTCCATCCCGTGGAATTCACAGGGAAAAGCCAGATATTGTGTTAAATAAAAAAATAAACACTGACTTCCACATAAGTACATCAATACTCATCAAGCCCCATAAGCAGATTTGATTAAGAATACACTTAAGAGAGGAAAGCAGTCTGCCAGACCACAGTACTAGCTACAAGACACAAAGAAAGCTGCCCCCACCACAACACAGTATTTGACTTCCATTACCTCGAAGGTAAACTACTCCACATGGTCCATTACACTGCACACCCTGCCCTTTTGGAAGACCAACACTCACATACAGCAACAACAAATTGATGCATTTGTAATAAAATGCAATTGAACATTAACTGCTCCAAAAGTGTTAAAGACTATTTAGTCTTTCCAGAAACAAAGAACTGTTATTTTTTCTACTCATTTAAAAGTTCATTATAAAATTCACTAAGCCTGATACATATCTGAAGGCAGAGAAGTACATGTGAAAAATGATAAGCTCAAGTTTCTTATGCCAGAAAGAGTAGCTCTCACTGGTCTCCGCCAGTATCTAAGTGTTGAGCCATCTTTGGTTGAGATGCAAAAGCTTCTCTAAGAAAAATTTGAGCTCTTAACAATTCTGCAGAGAATTACGACTAAATGTGTATATATGATATTCTAAATCAAATGTTTCACTTGCCTAACATTTGTTGTTTGTGGTTTTTTTTTTTAAAACTACTTCTACCAACCCATTTGCTTCCTTTATGTGCATTTCATATGCAACAATAAAACAAGTTGCAGCACAGCTTCCCTGTTCTATTCTAGGAGTCTGAAAAACCTTGTCACAAGTCTATTTTTTTTTTCCTCTTCATGATGAGTCTTATTCAAGGAAAAGCTAATTACATAACATAGCCATCAGCCTTTTAAACTTTCTTTTACTTCACAAAAAGAAAGTGCTTATAAGCACATTTGTCCAATAAAAATTTCAAAAAATATTTTGAACAGCAGAAAGGACCCTAAGCAATTTACTAAATATTGCAAAAGGATGAGGACTCCTTTAAGCCAAATCTTTAAGCATCAAGTGTATTTTTTTGTTTAGGTAAATGGAAATTTTACTTCCAAAAAAATTACCTGACCTCAGTAGATTAAGTTATGAGAGTGCATCCTAAATATACATATTGTTACAAAGGAAGCATGGGTTCCAAAATCTGAAAGCTAGCACACTTTTCACTGAAGTTCTTAAAGCCTTCTTTAGCCTTTAATTCTGCATGCTCTTCCCTGCCATCCTGCAGAAATGGAAAAAGGGCAGTTATAAAACTACAGTTATAAAGCTTAGTATCACCGTCCTTCCCAAACAAATCTCTCTTCAGGCACACAGGAGCACCAACACAGCCTTAACTGGCCTGCCTTGCCTCCAAAAGCAGCTGCTTGATGAAAATACTGGGTCAAAGGCTACAAAAGGTCTTAGATAAAGAATACAGTCATAGCTAGAATACAAGGTAAGGATGTAAGAAGACAGCAAATATTAAGCAATACAAGTGAATACATGCCTCTAGTGTCTCCAGACCCTCATTAGAGCATTTCTAAAATAAGTCTCCATACTCAACTCAAGGGACTTCTCATCAACTTTCCACTCAGTCTGAAACCCATGTAAGCTTTTAGCATTCATTTCATACTTACTGAAGACACAATTGAAATACATCATCTCCCATACCTGCTGTCCTCAATTACCTATAGTTAGCTTGGGGGAGAAAGTGAACAATTGCTCTTTAGACATCCTGACTATATTTCCCACATCTCAGAAATTTAGAAATTTGCCAACATTTGCAGTACCATTCTGCCACACTGTTTAACCCACAAGAACCTCAGTTTTCTTTATCAGGATCTACTCAAATTCTGTAGTAGCAACTGCTCTCCTCAGAGCTTCTTAAAGACTGAAAGAACTGGGGCTGTTCAGCCTGGAGAAGAGAAGGCTCAGGGAGACATGATAGCAGCTTGTTAGTACCTAAAAGAAGCCTGTACGAAGGGGACAGACCCGTTAGCAAGGTCTGTTGAGAGAGGAAAAGGAAAAATGGTTTCAAGCTAAAAGATGGGAGATTTGGTTTTAAACTGAGGCAGGAGAGGTTTAGGTTAGATATCAGGAGGAAGCTTTTAATTCAGAGGGCAGTGACGCACTGTAACAGGTTGCCCAAGGAGGCTGTGGATGCCCCATCCCTGGAGGCACTCAAGGCTGGGCTGGATGTGGCTCTGGGCAGCCTGGTCTGGTGGTTGGTGACCCTGCACATAGCAGGGGTTGAAACTCGATGATCTCTGTGGTCCTTTTCAACCCAGGCCACTCTGTGGATTTTATGATAAAAGTTGCTCTGACAGGCAGCAGACACTCCACCCCTGAGACATTCAAGGTTAGACAGGATAAAGCTCTGAATAACCTGATGGAGCTGTAGGTGTCCCTGTTTACTGTAGGGAAGTTGGACCAAATGACATTTAAAGGCCCTTTCCAACTGAAACAATTCTACAGTTCTTCACTACCACCCTTCCTCAAAGGAGAGACACAGACTAAGCAGAGCTCTCAGCAATAGGCCCGTTCACTGAGCTAACAGGTCAACAAAGAAGCCCCAGTGCTGCTCTATGCTGCAGACAGGGACAGCCCCCAGACAGAAGCACAGCTGCTACAGCCCCACAGGTTTGCCCCCCTCCACCAAATTCCCAGCCTGGGCCACATAACGCAACTCACTCTGCCAACTTCGAGCAAGCTACTAAAATCAACCCCACATATCTACAAACCGCTATGCCTTATTAAGCGCTCAGCAGCAAACCGAGAAGCATCACGAGACCCAAAAGCACCGGCACAACGGAAAGGGCCGCACCCACAACCCCGCCCGCCTCGAGCAACGAAGCGATAGGGCAGACCCCCTCCCAGCCGCAAGCGCGCACCGTCCATGGTCTCCCGCACGGCGTTGAGGCTGGCGGCATTGCTCGCCATGGCGACCGCCTACCCGGAAGCAGACCCCCCCCCCCCCCCCCACCCTCGACCCCGCGTCATTCGGACGCTCCCGCTCCCCACCACCACGTGACACCCCCCAAACGGAACCCTCCCCCTCGGCAGCAGGAAGGGGAGAGGCGGGCTTACGTTCGAATTTGTGCAGCGGCTCTCCGAGCGATTGGTCCGTTTGTGAGCGGAGGGGAACCTACGATTGGCTCGGCGGCGGCCGCGACGCGCGTTGATTGGGCAGAATCCGGGAAGGGGCGGGAGTGGTTAAAGAGCCGCCCGGCGCGGCGGAGGCGGGCGGTTTAGATTGGAGTCGGGTATGAGCGAGCGTCGCGACGGCGGCTCGGTAGCGGCGGTGCGGTGTTGATGCAGGTAGCGGGGCCTCGAACGGGCTGGCCGGGCCTGAGGAGCGGGGGGCGGCCGTTGGTGCGGCTGTCCCGTCGACACGCGGCTCCGGTCCTTCGCTCCCCGCTGTGTGCGCTGCTTGGTCTGCGAGGAGTGTGGGGCCTTATCGCTGCGGGGCAGCGACCCCGGCTGCTGCTGACAGCTGCTCGCCTCTGAGGCCCCACAGTGCCGCCGTTCGGTACGCGAGCTGACGGCAGGAAAGCGATTGGTTTACTCCCTGCCCGTTTCTGTTCCAATCGCGTTTTCAGTGTCGTGTTTCCTTTGGCTTTATTTTTTAAGTTTTGTCTTTGTGCCAGCCTCGTTTATGGGCTTCTCACTCGCCCAAGCCAAAAGTCTGCTTTGCCGTTATGAGTTTTCTGTCTCCTCTGAGTGATCGGTCATCTGCTGAAATGCTTAGGATGACCCTGACGAGTCAGAATGATGATTTCCTCCCCTCTCGTTTCCCTCTTTTCCCCAGGAACAGCGCGCTGCTATGGGCGATACGGAAGAAGCCCAAATGCAGATCAGCCCCGAAACTCCTGGGCGGGTCACAGTCCTGAATCCTTTCGAAAGTCCCAATGATTATTGCACCCTTCAGGAGCAGATTGTCTCCAGTCCTTCCGTCTTCAAATCAACAAAATCTTCATCTGTAAGATCTCATCTTCCCTTATATGCAGTGCTAATACTTCGAAGCATGTAACACAGTGCATTTATTTGATGTAGAGTGTACTAACCCAAAGAACTTGAGGTGTTTTTCTGGTTCTTTCAGTTACCTCAGTATGCTTCATTTAATGCTAATACTGTAATTTGGTCTTCCCACCTTCTTGATAATGAAACTAGAAAGAGTGTTTTGCTAGGCTGTTTTTCTAAATGCTACTTGCTCAGTATTTTGTACTGAAGTGTTACATAAATGAATTACACTGCTTTATTCCCAAACTGGATTTTATGAACTATGACTGACAGTGCCTCAAAGTGAGTCTCTGTGGCCTGCTTATAGGCTGTCCTGTGTCTCCCATGAAATGTAAAGTAAAAGGAAGGTTGCTATACTATCCTGGCTTGGATGATGATTGAAGTGCTTTCAGGGAGCCACAATTTTCATTGTGTCTATCGAGAAGCAACTAAACTTTATCCCATGCTTCAGATCTTTAGTGGGCCTGTCCTCAGAAATGCAGGGGGAATAACATGACACCTCGGTTAGTAATTCTTAGTAGTCTTTCACTTAATATTATCTCATAATTATTTTAATTCCACCATCAAGACAAGAAAGCCTGATTTTAGCTTCCCTTTTAAAAAAATATTTTTAGATTAGCAAGTATTCATATGTGCATTTGTTTTTTTTAGACACCAGGAAAATTTAGATGGTCTATTGATCAGCTTGCTTTAATAAATCCTGTGGAAATTGACTCAGAAGATATCCGACGCCAAGCAATGTATTTGAGTCACGCTAGGTAACTTACCATCTGTTTTTATGCTGTTAACTTAGCTTGAATAGCAGAACACTGTTCATTTGCTTTAGTTATATTTCTCACGTCGTTAAAAACCTTTCATTCCAGCTTTTCAACATACATTTTCTTGTTCCTGATGTGAATATAATATTCAGATGCGGCCACTTGGGTTGCTGTTTTTAAATCTTAAGAACTGCCGATCCTCTCTGATTGCAGTTTGGAGGATAGCCAGATACAGCAGTCAGCAGAAGCAAGAAAAATGCCTTGCCAATGAATGTTGTCTGGCTCTCTCTCCTGCTTCTTGTCACAACGCTCTTTATCTTCTTGGAGTGTACAGTTTTGGAACCTACGAAGCCTAAGTGTTTTTGGGACTCCTGCAGAATGATAGAGCTGGCGAAGGCAGTACTATTTGAAAGGTACAGACTGGAATTAATGTGAGGGAGGAAAGACCAATAATCTTGCTCTCTTTGAGGAGAAGACTAGTAGTTGCGTAAAGTAATTTGGGGATCTTTATCTCAACTTTCCTTTCTTTGAGTTTTCCTGTGGGTACAACGAATGACTGAAGTAAAACAGGCTTGCTAGTAGTCACGGATCCTGCTGAGGGATTGTATTTGACACTAACGTGGCTTATGTGGCAGTTCAAGTGATGATTAGTGCTGTGGCCAGTAAACATAAACATGTTGTCTCAGTGGGTCCTTTCAGTCCGTCCCATTGCTTCATGCTTGCTGCAATGTTTTTCAGTCTGTCTAGATGTGGTGTGGCCGTGGCTGCCTATTGCAGTGTTGTACAGACAAAGGAGGTTGTTTCTGAGTACGTGATTGATTGCATAGAGGTCTAAGCATATAAAACTGTACGGCAACTCAATGTACACAGCATAAACACTGCTTTATGGAAACTAAAGAGTGTCATAAATACAGCTCTTGGCATTACACCTGCCAGATGAAAGAACTGACTTCTTGAAACCTGTGTTATGTTGCACAGACTGTATGCTTAATTTTAATAACGCTTGTCAACAATTGCAAATTATCACAAGCATAAGGAATTTGGTGAATGTTTTCAACAGTTAATTCTCCATTATGTAATAGAAACATTGGGTAGCAGCAGTGTGAAAGCTTCAGAGTGCTTTGCAAAATCTGAACGTGCATCATGTGTAGAATTAGATTTCTGCAATATTACTGTTTTCATGAACTGGCCATCCATGCTGTATGCCTACTGCACTGTTGGTTTTACTGTTTCTCTTTTGGAATCAGGCTTGTAGAGACACTTACTAATCATGATCTACTCTGCAAAAACAGTGATTGTATGCGTGTTCTTTTAGTATGATAGTGAAATTTGGGGCAAGTGTCTTCACTGAACTGTTACAGTGTCTTCAGCATCATCCAACGTAACTGAAAATAGCATTTCAGAGTATTGCACATCTGCTCAAAGTCCGATTCCCATCAAGGAGGGCTATGAGAAATTTTATGTACAGGTACCCCTGTGCATGTTTGTATGGCAAATAATGTCTGTTATCTGACTGATTTCTAAAGTGATATACTCAGGGATATAATTATGCATGAAAGTATTATGTGATTAATCTTCCTAAGATGACGAATGTTCATTGTAATCTTTTTGAAGCTTATTAAAAAATACCCTAGAAGTAAGATTTGATTGTGACAGTTAAAGGAAGTAGAAATGTAGAACGTAACACATCGTTTGGAGATGGCTGATGTAAATACAATTCTTTTTCTAAAGAAAAGTTATTATGTAATTCGGACTTTCATTTGTTATTTTTTGCAAAAGTGTTCAAGGGAATGTGTTAGCTGATTCAAATTGAAACATAATGTTTTGTTCTTGAGCTGAAGAAAATATGGCAGTGCAGTCATTTGAAAGGGGGAACTCTGCTGGGAAAATAGGCTGTCTTGGGAACTTCAGGATGCAAACATCTTAAATTCTTCTGATTTTGTAAGCCTACTTTCATGGTAACCTCAGCAGTAAAAGGTATTCATCTGAACCTGAACATAACTAGATGGATTATTTTGAAAAATCAATTATTATTGACTTTTTGTTCTAATAAAAAGCTTGCTAGTGCAAGGAGTAAATAGGGCAGTGAATCTGTACTTAGGAATTGTATACATCTTTTTCAAAATCACTGAAGTAACTGAAAAGTGCTTGTCTGTTTCTAAGTGTATGATATGAATTCATTGCTTTAACTGTGAAATATTTTAAGATGGGGTTAAATTTTGTTTATCATGTTTTTCTCAAATCATGGAATCATAGAGTTGCTCAGGTTGGAAAAGACCTTAAAGGTCATCGAGTCCAACCACAACCTAACCATACCACCCTCACTCTAACAACCCTCTGCTAAATCATGTCCCTGAGCACCACATCCAAACAGTTTTTAAACACATCCAGGGATGGTGACTCAACCACCTCCCTGGGGAGCCAATTCCAGTGCTTCACAACCCTTTCTGTAAAGAAGTGTTTCCTGATATCCAACCTAAACTTACTCTGGCACAACTTGAGGCCATTCCCCCTCATCTATCACCAGTGAGAAGAGACCAGCCCCGCTCTCACTGTAAGCACCTTTCAGTCTACAGACATGGCTGAACTTCATTATTTTTTTTCCCAATTGTGATTTTCGGTAACTTAATTAGTTTTTTGTTGGTGTTTTTCCTTAGAATTGATAAGGAGACAGAAGAGAGGAGGCAGAAAGCCATTGAGGAGGTAATAAAGCTTTCTGTGCTTAAAAATCGCTGGTTTGTTTTAGCTATTTGCTTTTAAAAAAAAAAAAAAAAAAAAAGTTGATTACAGAACTTCAAAATCCACAGGCCTACAGTGTTTTCCTGAGTGGTAAGAAAGTAATTTTTGCATCCTATCCCTTGCAGCAATATAGTTGGAATGCTCTTTTGTTTTTTGTTGTCTTTTACATGCCTTTAGGTGAACATAGTATATTTTCTATCTTTTGTGTTGGTTTCCCTCCAGGAATTATTAATGTTGGGTAGTTTATGATTCTTTTCCTGCTTTAAAAAAAAAAAAAAATGTGTAGCAGAAGCTTGGTGATTTTTTCTGTCTGTTTTATGATTCTGTAAAGATGCTTTGTAGTTGGCTTATGTCTAAGATACTCACAGAATCATAGAGTCACCAAGTTTGGAAAAGACCTCCAAGATCATTCAGTGAAACTGTCCACTTATCACCAATAATTCTCACTAAACCATGTCCCTCACTACAACATCTTAAACATTCCTTGAACACCTGCAGGGTCAGTGACTCCACCACCTCCCTGTGTAGCCCATTCCAGCGTCTGACCCCTCTTTTGAGAAGCAGTATTTCCTAACCTACTCGACTGCTTTAAATCTGCATTTTAAAAGGATTCATTGTAAGGCACAAGAACAGCCTGCAGCCCTGTCTCTGATGGATAACCTTCATAGCTTGGGTAGCTAGCTGCATCTTTCAAGCTCAGTTTTCTTGCTTAAGATTAGCTTCTGTTGTGAGAACAGAACTTGCCATGTGTTTCTTGAAGCTGTATAGTAGTGCTCATGTCTTCAACATCTGAGCATTCTGTGTTGTAGCTGTGACAGCAGGTATGGTTTCTAGTTTGAAAAATAAATAAATAAACAAATAAAAACAAATAAACCCAAACTCTGAAGGACAGTGCTGATACATATTTCACTGTTAGCTGGTTTATCCAAGCGCATTTAAAATATTGCCAAAAAGCCTTGGTCATCCTCTTTGTCTGTTGTTAATGCAGAATCCTTTCAGTACTTCTTCAAAATAGTCTAGTTATTAAAGGACAAAATTTGTCAAACTGGAATTTGAGAAGAACTATGCTAAATTACTCTGCAAGGGTGGTAGTATGCAGTAAGTACCATAGAGATCATTTGCATTTTTGGATGAGTAATTAGTATTAAATGAAACTTCTGTACAGTTTCATTCTGCAGGCCTGAGAGTTCTGAGGCAGTATATGCCTTACAGAACATGAGTTGTTGTTTTTTTGGTTTTTTTTTAAATCCTTGTTCTTTAACCTTGTATGGGAACTGCTGAAAAAACCTGAACCTCTGATTGATCACCTGAGGGAAGCAATGAAGGCAATTCAGCTGTGCTGCTGGAAGGGGTGGAGCCAGGCTCCACCTCTCCTAGACCCATTTAAGAGCTGACCACCAGGGGGGAAGGATCTCTTCTGGAGATTCCCTCCTCTGGAGTTCTGCAGTGAGTCCAGGATGTGGGTAAACTTTCTATCTATTTTCTGTTTGTTATTGTAACCTGATTAGCCAAACTCTTGTGTTTATTTAATGATTATAACATCTTTATATTCATTGATTATACAAATCTTTATAGACCTGAAATAATGAAATTATTTCAGATATAAGAGAAAACTGTCTTATGGGTTTTGGGGAGGGCAGAGTTAAAATTCATAAGTATAGGTTTGTGAGTAGTAAAAGATATGCCTTATTTTTTTCTTATTCAAAATACTAATCTAAATGTAAGTTTAGAGTTCATAATTCTTAAAAATGTTACTATGTTTTTTCTGATCTAGTTTTTCACAAAGAGTCTCATAGTTCCTTCTCCTTGGACTGAACATGAAGGCAAGCAAGTTTCACAGTTCAATTCAACAAAATGTAAGTAGCTTTCATCTGTCTGCTCAAAGTCCAGCATTGGGAATAATTATTATTTTTTTTTTTTCTCCAATCTCAGTTTAAATTTCCAAAAGCACTGCTGAGAGATGACACAACTGATGGGATTTCTAGCAGTCCTCTCCAAGTGCTTTATTATTTTGAATATCATTTATTAATCCAGAATCCCACTTGTTTTCTTCAGTTTTGCTTTTTGAGATCGTCTTCTTAATGCTTTGTTTCCTGTCCTAACCCTTCTTCAGCCAGCTTCAGACAGACATGTTGCTGAGACAATATTGAGAATAGACAGCTCTTCTGTCTCATTTTTTATTTTTTTTTTTTATCTCCAGTATCTGCATGTAATGATAGAATGGCCTGGGTTGAAAAGGAACATAATGATCATCGAGTTTCAATCCCCCTGCTATGTGCAGGATTGCCAACCACCAGACCAGGCTGCCCAGAGCCACATCCGGCCTGGCCTTGAACACCTCCATGGATGGGGTATCAACAACCTCCTTGGGCAACCTGTTCCAGTGTGTCACCACCCTCTATGTGAAGGACCTCCTCCTAATATCTAACCAAAATCTCCCCTACCTCAGTTTAAACCATTCTCCCTTGTCCTATCACTGTCCACCCTTGTGAACAGCTATACCCCTTCCTGTTTATATGCTCCCTTCAAGTACTGGAAGGCTACAATGAGGTCTCCCCAGAGCCTTCTATTCTCCAAGCTAAACAAGCCCAGTTCCCTCAACCTTTCTCATAGGAGAGGTGCTCCAGCCCTCTGATCATCTTAGTGGCCCTCCTCTGGACCTGCTCCAAGAGCTCCACGTCCTTCCTGTAGTGGGGGCCCCAGGCCTGGATGCAATACTGTAGATGGTGCCTCACATGAGCTGAGTGGGGGGGGGGAAGACAATCACCTCCCTCTCTCTGCTGGCCACCCCTTTTTTAATGCATCCCACAACACAGATGGCCTTCTGGGCTGCAAGCTCACACTGCTGGTTCCTGCAGCTTCTCGTCCACCAGGACCCACAAGTCTTTCTTTGCAGGGCTGCTCTCAAGGAGATCTTCCCCAGCTTGTATAAATACCTGGGATTGCCCTGACCCAAGTGCAGCACCCTGCACTTGGCCGTATTGAATCCCATTTGTTTTTCATTGGCCCTTTTCTCCAGCCTGTCCAGGTCCCTCTGGATGGCTTCCCGTCCCTCCAATGTATCAACTGCACCGCTCAGCTTGGTGTCATCCACAAACTTGCTGAGGGTGCACTTGATGCCATCATCTGCGTCACTGATGAAGATGTTGAAGAGCACTGGTCCCAAGACCGACCCCTGAGGGACACCGCTTGTGATCAGCCTCCACCCTGGCAGAACCGTTGATCACAACCCTTTGGCTGTGCCCAGCCAGCCAATTCCTCATCCATCGAACAGTCCATCCTTCAAAATCCACAGCTCTCCATTTTAGAGAGAAGGATGTGGTGAGGGACCATGTCAAAAGCTTTGCAGTAGTCCAGGTGGATGACATCCACCAGCTTTCCTCCATCCACCAAAGCCATCTCTCTGTCACAGATGGCCACCAGATGGTCAGGCATGATCTGCCCTTGGTGAAGCCATGCTGGCTGTCTTGGATCACCTCTTTATCTTGTATGTGCCTTAACACAGCTTCTATTAGGATCTGCTTCATGATCCTCCCAAGGCACAGAGGTGAGATTCACTGGCCTGTGGTTCCCCTGGTCATCCGTCATCTCTCATATTCTATCTGCTTTCCCATCAGTATAAATACATGGGAACAGAGTTCCATTTCTTTCTAGCTTTATTTGACGTGTTAATTCCTGTTGTCCTCTTGGTGCTCTGCTTTCTCACTGTTTGTGTATGTAGTATTCTAGGTTTTACTAAACTTATTCAATTTATGCTGTTACTTGGTTTTAATGTTAATGTAGATATAACCAGTAGATTGTGAACAAATGAGAAGCTGGACAAGTGTTGGCTATGAAGTACTATTTGACAGAAAATCCTTATTTTTTTTTTCCAAGTTTTGACTAAGGATAAACTGTTAGGGTATTTTGTGAAGTCTACACAACTTCTGAATGGTGTATTTTTAATTGTGAGTTTTCAAGTAACCAATTACTGATTAAAGGACATAGAGCACAATCCTAAACCTAGGAAAGTGAGTGGTAAAACAATGTTTGAATGTTCTTAGCTGTATACACAGGTTGGAGTGGTAGATTGTTCATTTTTGTCTTCAAGTCCAGACTACATGATTTTCTGCAGATGTGTTTGCATGAAAACAGCCCATCCAAGGTAGAGGAGTGGACAAAGTTTTGGGCAAGGTTGATGCTCCTTCACAAAGCTTCTAGAAAGGTGCTGGAATTCTGTTATCAGCTATAATTCCAACTTTTCTTAAGCATTCCTTTCTATGTTCTCCCAAGCTTTAATCCAACTACACAAACTACACAACTGCTTCTGTATCAAGTACACTAACTTAATGCTGCTATGTTTCAAAGCTGTATGTAATTCATGCTTAAATTTCTTACCTGTCTTACAGCCATAGATCTAAATAACATTTCTCCAATTGGAAGACAGCTAACTTTGCCTGGGAAAACCAATGGTGAGTAAAAAGTGTTGTCTGATTGCAGGTTTTCTTTGAAGTGTAATGACCTCTTTTTTAGGACTACTTAATTTGAAAAGGGGGAGTCAGTTTTTTTTGTTAGTATTCATGTGGAAATAACTATTCTTGAACTGTATATTACTACTGACTTTTATGTTTCCCATAGTAATTTAATTGTCGTATAGGTATATTTTTTCCAGAAGTTTAAAAAAAAAAAAATCCTCTGTAGAATGCATTTTTTTCCCAAGTCCAAATATATATGCTATATTCTGAGTTAAAAATATTGAATATAAGCTTTGGGCTTATGGGGAAATTACAGTTTTGAGAAGTCTTTAATGTGTTGTTTTGAGTAACAGAATCTTGGTTATTCTCTCTGCCAAATAAGTAGTTTAAAAGATGTCTTAAGATTTCTGCTATTTTAGATAAGCAGTTTTTTCTCCAGGGTATTTTGATCTTTCTCCCAGTTCATTTTCAATTCTGCCTTTTATCAGAGCTCTTTTTTCAGTTAAGCATCTCTCTCTGGAGGCTTCTATGCTGCAGCTCTCTATTTTATCTCTAGGCCTGAATATGCTGTGTATAGCGTTGACGAATCAGAATCCTAGCCTTAATTAACAGTTTTCCTTATTGCAACTGTAACTTCTAAATAGCTGTATCACAGTGCAATTTAAAAGCAAATTTTTGTTTCTTCGGTTTTACTGAAAGTTCACTGTAAGCTGATTTTGTTGTTTTTATTCATTGTAGCTGCTTGTCAAACAGTACTGTCTTTGCCAGTGGATTTTAATTTAGAGAAAATCCTAGGTACGTATGTGTTACAATTTCTAAACTTAATTATAGATGTCTAAATAGATGTGTTTCTGTCTTGTTTTTGCTTAATGTATGAATGAGAATTTTAAGGGAATGTTAAGTGGTTTTTAGAAGTAGTCATGTTCCGTATATTGCATGGGATACCTGAGGAAGTTCACAGATTAGAGCGTAGGCATAAAGGTGAGATTGGAGTGATATGGAGGTCAATTGGGAATACAGTAAAAACATCAAATACAAGAAAGTTACCAAGCAGAAAAACTTTTTTCCACGTTCAAGTAGGGGTTACTTATCTTTGCACACCTCGCTGCCAGTGAGGCGCCTAGCCTGGCCTTGAGCAAATCTATGCTGTAATTCTGTGCCTTTCAGTATGTCCATGGAGGTGACAAGAAATTACGTGGTGGCAAAAATGCCCTGATCCCTGAGGAGAGATGGAGACTAGACCAAAGTTAACAGATGGGTTATAACTATTATCTCAAGCAATTGCTGTTGGATTCTCAGGCAGGAAAGAGGACAGGAAATCCCTGTGCTTACAGTTTGTGTATGTGAATAGGCAGTTCAGAGGCGTTTGGCTGCTTGCTTCTCTCCCAGTACTGAAGTTCACCACCCTGATTGTGCCAGTTAAGTTGAGGTTGTGTTACAAACTTAACAGAACTATACAAACAACTTTAGTGTTAGACCTTGACAAATGCTTCCATCAGTGAGTAGATTATTAATTCATGACAACTTCTCTTACAAGATAAAGAACAATTAGAATAGAGCAAGATACTTGAATGACTTTTGTTAATACGATTTTCTATTGTAAACTATAACTGCTTTAACTTCAGGTTGAGTCTGTGACCATCAAAGCACATGAGAGACTTGAAAAAGAGTCTTGTCTTACCTATACAATATAACAACCTATTCTTCTAAGTTAAAGCATTAAGGATGATAGTCAGAAATGGAACTATGGTAGACAGTGGATTTGTTGTATGGTAACAAGTCTTCATTTGGAAGAGGTCCCTAGATTTAATTTCTTGCTGTATTGGTAAATTGAATTGTATGTTTTACTTTTGCAATGTATGCTCCATAGTGGAAAGTTTTTTTTCTTCCATTCTTATTGGAAACAACTGCCTTCCCTTCATTTCTAGGTGAATATTTTAGAACTGATGAATTTGCAGATCAGTCTCAGGAAAATCTGAGCTCTTCATCACTCCGAAGAAAGCTTTTTTTGGAAGAAAATGGAAACATATCTGAATGTTTGACCCCTTCTCTGCATAATCCATGCAGTAGTCAGCCACTTGGAGTGCTTTGCTCAATAGATATATCTCCAGTTCGGTGCAGGAGCCCCCTGGAAACATCTAGTTCAGTAAGTAGCCAGATGGGGGATGGATGGGAGGTGACTTTATTGGCACAAACTCTTTACAGCAGCCTGTACCAATTCTATTTTCTGACAAACTCAAGACAATCATATTTCTGTAGTAAGCTTTATAGGAGATTAGGTATCAGGCCAATGTTTTTTAATTACGTTTTCAGAACAATTTATATGAGCAACAATTTTGAGAGAATGCAACTAATTTTTAATTCTAAAAAAGATGTGATGCTGTGCTGCTATTCTCTGTTGAAGGGATTATGTTTTAACTTCCTTCTGCTATGGAAATTACGTAGGATTTGGTATATAAACTACTGAACTGCTTGTTCATAAAATACGTTTACATGGAAAAAATACCTATTTAAATCAGTGAACTGTCTAAAATATTAGCTGATATGAGCAGGGATGTAATTACATCCCTTGTGTCTCATAAACGTTTGTGGTGGAAGAAATAACTTGTCATATGAATAGGTCTCTGAATGCGGTGCTAGATATGCTCTTTTCCCCTCTCCATTGACCAGTGAATTCAGGTGAACAGATAAATATTAGAACACAAAACATAATGTCTGTTTCTTAAATTAAGTGAGGTGAATCCTACACCGACGTAACCATAGCACAGCTAAGCTGTTTCAGGTGGTGTGGCTTCATCTGTTTGGAAATTGAAGTGTGTGGGAGAAAAACACAGTCCTAACAAGAGTATGGCTCAAAAATAGTCTGTATTAGAGAAAACTGGTCATGTATTCCTACAACACAGTTATGCTGTTTGGAGATTTTTTTTGCACCACACTGTCTTAAGCATGGTCTCTCTTTTTTTTCTTTTTTTTTTTTCCTTCTTGAGGAAAACTTTATCTGCTTGTGCAATAAGTAATTCAAATTGATTCCGTTAAATATAAATAGTGGTCAGCTTTCATCTATCATGGTACGAGTAAGATGTAATTGACTATGCAAAGAATTAAGTACTGTTTAGGCTGTTCATTAGTAACATCCACTGTATTTACAAACTATCTTAGTTGATGTAATGTGACAATTTATTTGGTATAAAGTGAAAAGTGCAACTGGAGTATCTAAGTCAAGCTAATGGTAGACAGATTGTCTTCTTATAAGATTAGATTTCCTCAGTACTGCCATAATAAGTTTTCAAGTTAGAGAGCTTGTTATGCATGTTAGTCTAAGGCTACATAATGAAGATATACTTTTTTTTTTGCTATTGAAGGGTCAGTTTTCATCCAGCCCTATCCAGGGAGGAGCAAGGACTTACAGTCTGGGAAGTATTACCAGTCCCTCATTTCCAGAAGGGTCTCCTGCACGTAATGGTTCTCCTACTTTTTCACCTATTGCTTTTCATATAAGACATACACCGCTGTCAGGTATGATTTTCTTGTATATGTATTATTCTTTCTTGATTTACATAATTTGATTATTAAAGCAGTTCTGCTCTGGAACCTGTTTCTGTTCAGAGTCAGAAAGGCATGCAGCTTGGCACACCGGCAGTCTCCTTCTGTATGGCATACTTACTTTCTGGCAGTGAAATACCTTAATTGTGTGAAACAATTTTTTGTAAGCAGATACGTTTCCCTAAAGAAAATTATTTGAAAAGAGGAATAGAGACCTAATGAACAAAATGTAAGGGATTGATTTAATGTAAAGAGGGGGGTTTAAATCTGAACTAAGTCAAGTCACAGTTTTTATTTGGCCCAAACCAAAGCACTTTAATTGGAAAATGTTTAGCTTTAGTTATTGAGTCGTGGCAATCAAGATTATTTAAAATTATTTTTCTAGTGAAGAAACAACAGCTGTTGGTATTGTTGCTCTAGAAAATCATGCAGTCATAGAATGGCATGGGTTGGAAGGGAACTCAAGGATTGTCAAGTTCCAACCCATGCCATAAAGCTGCTCTCAAGGAGATCTCCTTCCAGTCTGCACATATGGGATTACTCTGACCCAAGCACAAAACCTTGCAATTTGCTTTGTTGAACCTCACTAGGTTCACGTGGGCCCACCTTTTGAGTTTCTCGAGGTCTCTCTGGATGGCACTCCTTCCTTCTGCCCTATTATCTGCCCCACTCATCTTTCATCTATTATTTAGAGAGACTTAGGCCATGTTTATGCATGATTTTGCTTTCAGCCTTGTAATATTTCAGTATAGTTTGTTATATATAGGGATTGCATTGGTGTTTTCTCATTTTTTTTTTCTTGACAATTTTATTACTACTTAAATTTATTTTACATGCCTGTAGAACATGTACATTTACATTCATTAATTCTGAAAAAGCCACAGAAGCAACCTGCACACACAGTACTGTCAACAGAATAGAGCATCACTGTTTGAAAATGCAAAATACACAACAGGAAACAAAACAGTGATAAAACTTGGATTTAAGAAGTTTTCTTTATCATGATTGTTTTTGATGGCCTTGGAGCAAGGAGGCAGTGCTCTGTGAAATACTGTAAAGCTGTCTATAATTATTGTAAGGAGAATAAGGCTTTGAGAACTGTAACTTGTAAGTCCATCTGATGCAATAATGTTGTTTTTGGTTTGTTTTGTTTTTTTTTTTTACTGTTCACAGACCAAAGAAAACTTGCATTTTGTTCTCCAGATATTCCTTCTGTCTCAAATAGAATGACACCTGCAAATACAAGAAGTCCTTATATAGATGGTTGTTCTCCAATTAAAAACTGTTCTCCAATGAGGCTTGGAGGGTGTAGAGGAACTGCCCAGTACCAAACTTCTGTCATTAGAATACCATTTGCTGTTGAAAATCACGATGAGGATGAGGACAGGGAAAATGCTTCTCCGGCAGAAGCGCGGTTCCCAGAAGTGGAAAATGGAATCAACTTCTGTCAGCAAGATGGCGACGCCTTTGCACCTGGTACACATCTCGTCGTTGCAACGGTGTCTATCACACCAGATCATTCGGAAGCTTGTCATCAAAGGTTGTCATCCTATCAGGATATAGAAGGCTTGAAGGAAAATAATACTGTAGATATGGCTGATGCAGCTGAAGTGTCAGAAAACACTTGGATAAAAGAAACAATTGGCAGTAGCAGTGCACCAATGACCAGCTTTATGACAGGGATTACTTTCAGTATTGAAAACTCTCGCATGTGCATGTCACCTCTTGCAGAAAGTAGTGCAATTCCGTGTGACAACAGTAGTATTCAGGTAAAAAAGTTTGCTTCTCTGTAAAACTGACCTCAATGTAATGTTCAAAACATCTTCCATTCACTTGCATATTTTTTTCACACCAAATGAAGGTGGTATGGATTAAGTTGTGTTAATCGGATGCAAATTACATCTGTTATAAAATCTGTGGGGTTTTGTTGGTGGTAAATTGGAGTACAGTTTTAAAATCTGCTTCTTGATTTCAGGTGGACAGTGGCTATAATACCCAGACGTGTGGGAGCAGCATCATGGATACTGCGGGAGCTGAAAACAGTTGCAGAGAAAATGATGTGAACACTAACACACTTCAGACTAAACCTCAACTTCCTAAGACAAAGGTAGGAGTTAACTTATACAGAAGTGATTTCCTTTGCGTGTAATGCACCCATTCCTTACTTTGTTGTTTCAAGGAGCCTGAGAGAAAAGTGTCTCAGGGAATTAAGTGTGGGGAAAAGGGGGGGAACACAACCAAACAAAACAAGAACACCTGAAGAACAGCAAAAGCCCCAGCGTAGTAATATAGCATCATTACAAGAACTATGTTGAAAACAAGTAGGACAAATACTGTAATAAAATACAAGGCAATAAAATTAACATATTCTATGACAAAGTCAAAAGAAGTTATGGAGGAAACTGAGGTATATGCACAGATGTAGGCTGTGAGGCTGCTTATGGCTTATGATGCACTGTGCATTGAAGTCTCCTTTACTTTTGCTTCTGTTCTTGCTACTTTTTTTTTTCTTCCATTGCCAGTTTTTAAAACTTGTGTTTAAATGTGTGCCTTACAAGCCAAGTAATGGCTCACCTTTCTTATTATAAAGAAGGAAAAAAAGACTAGCAATGCTCCCGAGCTCTTAATCTTGTGATCTCTTGTGATCAGTGGGAAGTTCTTCCAGAGACTGGGAAGCAAGGCTGTTTTCTTTGCAGGAAAAAGCAAAGATCATCTCCTCATATTTAGTAACTATGGTCTTACGAATTTAGCTCATGGTCAAGTGCTTGGTATGATTTATGGTCTTTGATGGAAGGGGAGACCAGTGGTAGTGTAGTGACTAGTCATAAAACTCAAGCCTATTTAGCCTGTATCTATGCACTGATAGCTGCTGCTTTGCCATGGTAGAGAGTGGACTGATGGAGTCTCACAGATCAATTACATTAAATTTTGATCAGCTCAGATTTGGATAACCGTGCCCGTACAGGAAGAACAGATGAATTTTTTAAAGTCAAAAATCTAAAAATACCTGCTAGCTCTGAGGTCTTATCCTAATCATCCTATTGGGTATAAATTGTGTGTGAATATATCCTTCAAAATCAACTTCTTCTGTGAAACCTGCTGTACAGAATCAGTGTACCATGCAACTGGCTTCTCCCATTGCTACTCTTAACTTTTTTTTTTATTCTGATTAAGCCCAACTTTGCACTTTGAATTAGAATTAATTTTTAATGGCATTAAGTGCTTGATTCAAATCTCAAAACGGAGAACCCACAGAGAATGGAAGAAAACAAAGCAGCACATGGCAATCACTGGCTGAAATACTTCAGTCTGGCTCACTCACAGCACGTGGTCTAAAGAAGTTCTTGCTGGCAGTATGTCTCAAAGACTTCTCCAGAGAGAACAATCTTCCTTTCTCCTTCTCAAAATGGAGAAGGTGGCAGGCTAAGGTACTGAGTTTGGAATGTAGAATCACAATGTTGGAAAGGACCACATAAGATCATCTAGTCCAACTGTCAAACTGTATTGTTTAGTCCAATCATTACTAACTGTAACTTGACATTTTCAGATAGTAAGTTTGGATATTGATTTTTGGGGGGGGGATTTTTTTTGTGAAAATGGTTTTAAAGTAAACTTTTTCCTTATAAACCTTAGGAGTGTTCTGTTTTAAACCACAAAGACAATCAGTTGCTGGGAGCAAAATCTCCAGAGAAGCAGTCCTGTTTCCATAAAGTGAAAATGCATCATGCAGTATTTTGTCAAAGTGCGAGCTGTAACGTTTCTACCTGGAAACATAAAAATGAAAATCAAATTCAGGGGTTTCACACGAGTGGTATGTAGTTCTGATGGAGAACTTGAATTGTGTTATCCAATAAATGTTTATATATGTGACCCCATTTGCCTGGATTGTACAAACTGTCTTGTTTTTCCTGATGGAAACATAAGTTGGTTAATATGTGGGGAGTTTTTAACAAATGTGATTTTTTGGGGGATTTTTAATAAAACTTATTGGTACTATTAAGTGATTGTTTTGAAAATTAAGGAAGTTGAACTCTGTACAAATAAATCATTGAGGTTTTTTCCTACCCGTTACCACTCTGCAGAGGCTTGTTGTTTTCAAAGTCTGGGTATAACTTCAGCTTTAAGAAGGAGCTGCAAAATGTGCACAACTCCTACAGACCTGAGGGAAGTTTCTCTTTGGGAGAGAAAGTAAGCAGTGTTAGTCTTGATTTGAATTGCTTTCTTCCTTGGCAGATTTGTGTGGCTTGGTACCAAGAACACAGATAGAGATTAAATGGAAATGTGATGGGAGTAGGGCTAGGGAAACAGGAATGGGATTGGAGTCTCGATCTAAAAAGAAATGAAACTCAGCTGTGACTTTCATTAGCAACATGTGTGTTTTACAACAGGTTGCAAACCATTTAAAATGGGTGCTTTTGATTTTAATGATGCCCCGTTAGTCCTTCACATATTTTCCTTGTGAACAGCTGCATGAAAACTCCATTACAATTATGGAAATAATGTATTTTTTTTTTCCATAGTTAAATCTTAATTGCTTCTAGTGATAAGATGAGCTTCGTGTCTAAAGAATCCTTTCCATTCTTTGAGCAGGCTTTCTCTTGGTTTGACAGAAATCAAGAAAAAGGATAAGTGGCAGAAATTCCTTTACAGGAAAACAGAATCTCTTCCTTTCAGTCAAACAACTTATTAAGGAAAGTGTGCATCCATCCGTTACCTGTGCCAAATGCTTAACTAAGATGTACTACTCAGTACTTCCAATTAAATGATTGTGTTACTTCAGAGTTGCATTACTACTGATGTTGAAGATGATTACCAGACTAGCTAATGTCTAGTAAGAACACTTGTGTCCAAACTGATGCTCCTAGCATCCTTTCAAAGGAACAAAGAAGGTGCATAAGATTAAGTGGTCTTAGGATGTCCTTAATGGAATGGTGATGTCTTTCTTGTATTGCAGTAGACAACTGTAGTTTTACTTTCCCCTTATTTGTTTCCCAATTGTACTGTCTGCTGCAGAAATGACCAAAATATTTAGGTAAGTATTTTGACATGTAATTTCGGTACGCCAATTTCTGCCAGAACTATTAGTTTTTAAAAATCTCACGATATCTTCAATGGAAAAAAAGCCACTACTGAACAACGGTAATAGAATGAGGAAGTCTGGAAGCTGAGAATTCCTTTTGCATTATCAAATGAGATTTAGTTAAATTGGATTATATTTGCTTAAAAGGTTATTTTCAAATTAATTTCTTGTTAAGTATGGCATTCTTCCAGCCCTGCTGACTGAAAAGGAGATTGAAAGGGAAATACTGTAAGGGAAATACTGAAATGTCTGCATTTGTAGAGCTCTGAAGTAAACCTTTGTGGATTATTTAGAATATGTTCCAGTGGTTGCTCCAGCTGAAGTAGTGCTTGTTTCTTCTAGTAGCAAGGATAACCAATTCCAGGATGCTGCATGGAACTACGCTTCCAATTCTGAGCAGCAGCTCACAGAAGGGCCTGTCTCAAAGTGACAAATGCACACTATTGGCACACTGAGCCTGAAATAGTTGGTCATGTCTAAATGTCAAGGGGACTGGAAAACGTGTTAAAAATTTGCAATATGAACAGAATTGCATAGCATTACAAAGCAATGGATTAGAATTGGGACTTCTGTGCAGCCGCTGTATGAATGGAGCAATTCCTGAAAAACTTTGATCGATGATTTTACCATAAAGAGTTGCTGAAAAAAATACGCTTAAAAGAGAAACTTCTATCAATTAAACAGTATTTGGTTTCAGTTCTCACATTTCATAATCAATACGTCTAATTAAAAAAAAAAAACCTTCAGGTTTCTAACCAGTGAACACAACACACAAATTGTTACAGAAGTTTAAAAAAAAAAATAAAATAAAATAAAATATTTCAGTACTGTGTACCTAGCAATAACTTGAACCTAATGTCCTGAGTGCACTGCTTGATAAACTTGAAGCAGTGCCCTGCTAAAAGGTGAACTGCACTGAATGATTACTTATAGAGGATTTTTTTCTTTTTAATAAAAATTAATTTGGACATTTGGGAAATTAGCATGTTTAATGGGGCATCTGAAATGAGCCTCAGATGATAAGGTTTGAAGCTCAAAGACTAGACAACTTATTGTCAATTTAAAAAATATTTATCTTGTCTTTTCTGTTTCTAATGATGATTTTTAAGAATGAGTTGGAGTGGTGAATTGTAGATTTTTGGAATGTGCAAAGGATTTATTTTTTTAAGTCTGATCACCAAAAAATAATAGTATAGTGAGTATAGGTAAGAAGCAGGGCTGTCCATATCGTAATCATTTATGAACTGTATAGTATGTATGATTAAGACTTGTTTTCTTTTAATTAAAACTTGTGATTCTTTGTAATGCTGTGTTCTATTACCAGAGGTTTTTAAAGTAACTGCAGATTAAAACAGACACAAAAATAAAAGCAATCCCTAAGATGCTTGATTGTACCACATCCAAGTATTTCCTTAAATGCAAGGGGAAGATAACACCAGAAATGGTTATATGTGTGAAATAAGACATTCCTTTACCCCAGTGAAATGTTATCTTCTGTCTTGTTTCAGACTTCAGTCTGAAATCCAGATTTTATGAAAACTTGCAAATATGCTTTGTATAATCGTTTTGTGGAAGAAACCTACCGTAGGGATTACCATGGAAATCATTCTGTGTTTGTAGTCGTACTTCGGCACATGTTGCACAAAACAGTCCTTGTTTACATTAAATAGCTTTTAAAAAAGAGTCTTATAACATGAATAGTTGTAAATTGAGTAGTAAAACAGAATAAAGACTTGTCTTCAATAGCTCACTTGTTTAGTGCTTTGGTATAGCCTGCAGCATTGTTTGGGAAGGGGGTGCTGGGGAACAGTGGAAAGAGGTCAGGCAAGGAGGCTGGCAAGCAAAGATAGGTGATCTAACATCTAACATAAATATGTACATTTTAAAACTAATTTGAGTTACTATAATACATGGTCCTGCAGCCAAAGTGCAGAATCAGTTATAGATCCAATATGCTGTGTGTTTCTTGGAACTAGCCTTTCTTTGTAAGATAGCCAGAACAGTCTTTCAGAATAGTGGTGATGGGATTACAAGTCATGTAATGTGCTGTTTTTCTATTACAATCAGTTAATTGTTATAATCGTCTCCTTCTGAAGTCTTTATCAAGATGGGCTTTAAATTTGTTGAAATCCTCTGTAATGACAGCATTCAGGAAACTGAGTGAATACTGCCAAGTGACAGCTAATTAAGAAAACTACTGAAGAGTGATTGACTTCAGCAGCTCATGAGTTAAGATCCTGGAGGAAAGCTATAGCATGTGGGATTGCAATTTCTTGACTCATGAGCTAGGAATGGGCATTGGTAGAACAAGTCTATGTTGAAGCTAGAAGGAAAGCTAATATAATCCCAGGTACTCTGAAGGATAGCTCAACTGAAATAAACTTGGAGAATTTGATAGCTACTACATTCGATAGCTTGAGCTTTCCTTAGTTGCTGTGGTGGGAGTTCTGCACTGAGTCTGGGTATGTACATGTTAAGATTACTTTGGTTCACTACTGGCAGCACTTATGTGTCTCATGACTACAAAGATAGGTGATCTAACATGACTTCAGGTTTTTGGAAAACTGCCAGCGTGCCAGTACTGTGGCAGTGCAAGCTAGATGGATCACTACCTTGTGGATTTCTGTGTAATAGTTAAAAGGATGGAAACAACTATATTTAAGGCAGTTTGTCTGAGGGAAGCAGTGATCATAAAATCATTACGGTTGGAAAAGACCTCCAAGATAATTTAGTCCAACTGTCTATGTACCACCAGTACTGCCTGTTAAACCATGTCCCTGTAGACTGCATCTGCTCTCCTTAAACACTTCCAGGGACAGTGACTCCATCACCTCCCTGGACAGCCCATTCCAATGCCTGACCTCCTGAGAAGAAATTCTTCCTAATATCCAACCTGATCGTCCCCTGGTGCACCTTGAGGCCATGCATTCCAGTCCTATCTCTAGTTACACATTAGAAGGGGCTGACCCCCACCTCACCACAACCTCCCTTCAGGGAGTTGTAGAGAGCAATAATGTCTCACCTGAGCCTCCTCTTCTCCAGACAAAACAAATCCATCTCCCTCAGCCACTCTTCATAAGGCCTGTGCCCTCCAGACAGAGAGGAGGATGTGGTGAGGGACCATGTCAAAAGCTTTGCAGAAGTCCAGGTGGATGACATCCACCAGCTTTCCCCCATCCACCAAAGCCATCCCTCCGTCACAGATGGCCACCAGATGGTCAGGCATGATCTGCCCTTGGTGAAGCCATGCTGGCTGTCTCAAATCACCTCTTTATCTCATATGTGCCTTAACACAGCTTCTGTTAGGATCTGCTGCATGATCTTCCCAAGCACAGAGGTAAGACTCACTGGCCTGTAGTTCCCCGGGTGTTCCCTTCTCCCTTTCTTAAAAATGGGAGGAATGTTTCCCTTTCTCCAGTCATCGGGGTGACATGCGGAATCAAACTGTAACCCAAGTAAGATTACAAAGCAGGTATGGTTTATTCAGTGCTGCGCAGACACCGGGTGCAAGGGCGATGATCTGCCTAACTTGCACACCACCTGGTAAAATCGTGCTACAGATATAGGCTGAACTAATACATAATAGTTTTCCTGGAATTTGGATACTTACTCATTTCACCCCTGACAGTTCGTTAGCATGCAGACCCTCCCCTCTTGCACATGCATAGTGGGTCGTGGGATGAACATTTGTTCTTTTCCTCCCGAAGGCTTCTGATCTTGCTGTAAACTTCTGACCTTTCGGGGGACATCCCCCCAACTGGTTTCTTCTTGCCCTGTGGACATCTGATCACCTCCCTGCCAAATGTCCTCGGGCTGTTCTCAAACACTTATCTTAATGGCCTTTATACCCCTCACTGTTCCAGACCTAGTGTCTGCCATCTCTTATTTTCTAACAAGCTCTACATTCTTGCTTCTATAATCTATCTCTAATTATTCCCCTTCACCCCCTTTATTCTCAGTCACTGTGAAGCCTTCTTGCCTTTT